AAAGTTTCCAAAGAAGGTGGTTGGATAATTATATTTCCGTGTTTAATTAAAGTTTGTCTTATATTTCCAAACTGTAATCGCATTTCAAAGTCAAATTTCGTGCTGTCTGTCAATGGAACCTGTTCTGACGTCATAAGTACACGCGACTGTTCCCGGCAAAAAATATATAGTTCGTGGAGATAAACACAAAATAATCAATTTAATTTCAACAATTTAATCAATATATTCCGCTGTGAGGATATTCACCTTTTATACAACATAACGACATTATTGTTACGAGTTATATTGATCAACTGGGTTTTTTGAATCCGGTAGCATGGATCGTTAACCATGAGGAATGGGTATGGCGACATTTTTTTCGTGTCGTCAATAATACACTTAATAAAGTGAAGTCGGTCAAAACGACGTAATTTAGTCACGACGTCGCAAACATGTTCTTCAAATCACTATACCAATGGGAATTATGTGCGAGTTATGATTTGATATCTTCATATTTTGTTTGGTAAAGTTATATAGAGGCAATGCAGAGCAAATGGAAATACATGATAATAAGCCACATCAAAAACCATTGTTATATCAAAACTTTAGTAATATTAAAACTTTGTAACTTTAATTCAGCTGTTCCAGGAAAACCTTCTATTAACTCGGAACTATTGCGGGTGGAGGAAAACTTCAATTTCACGCTTGAGTGTGTTGTTAGTTTGGGTATCCCTCCAGCGCAGGTCACGTGGTACGTCAAGCACCCAGATGACCAGGCTTTCAGTGTTATCTCCTCCATGATTGACCCGGAAGACCAGAAAAGTGAGACATGCGTACCAGTTATTAACCAACAGATAATAGCGTCGATAACTGAGGAAACAAGCGGAAGTGTGTTTCAGTGTAGAGTGGAGGGACCACTCATTGAAAATGAAAATCATCAATACAAAGACGAAATAACCGTGGAAACACCAGGTATGTCCATACATAAGTCAAATATGTCATTTTCTGCATAAAATGAAAATAGCTACACTGAAGTTAGGATTAAAAAATACAGGTTGATATCAAAAGTTGAATCAACAACCGTTGCACTCGAACCACGACTACCCAACAAAATAAAACATGCTGGTATTTAAAATTCTGAATTTATTTCTTGGATGTCGGTTATTTTTATACAAACGTTTGAAAACCCTTTTTCACAAATGCGATAACGTATGATATTTTGAATATGTAGTTCTACCGCCAACGGCCACATTCAAATTTTACTTCATCTTGAAAGTACGATAACAAATAATCAATTTGCTTTATTTGCAATTTTTTTTCATTTGAATCATATTTTGTAAGGAGTTTTGACACAATTAGACACATTTAAAACGAAAATGGAAACCGTATAAGAAGTCACCTGTTTTTCTGCTTTCAGTTCTTTCAGCCTGTCTCGGTTTTTCAATTTCTTAGGTTCGCGTCTATGATGTAACTAGTCGAATGTATTCTTATATCTGTTTTTCATTCTTGTGGTTATGTTTGTATTTTCAAATATTTATGATTTTCTGTTGATATTCACTACAGAGACTG